GTTTCTTCTTATTTTAGTGTCGCTTTTTTGTCCATGGTGTGATCGGAGAACTACACATACCCGTAAAAAGTTAGTCAATTAAGCATAATCGTAAAAAGTTGGCCCCGACCTTAAGTGACCAACCGTAGATTGTCCTTTCCAAGAATGCATTAATTTTGAAAATTAATTCCGCTCAATTTAATCAATTGAAACATGCGCGCTGAAAATACTGCTGGAGGAAGATTTTTTTATTTCGAATTGCTATTTTGTCCTGTTAATAGCGTAGAGTTTCAGTCATATTTCGGTCTCCATTGATTTTTTGTCTAATTAGATCAATTTATTTTACCCTCAAAGTTAATTTCTGTAAAACCGATAATTCCCCCCCCCCCCCCTATAGTGCAATGCAACTTTTTTGCGACCCAAGTCGCTAACTAAAGTGTTAATTTGGTGGTACTTTTGAATCGGTAGGCTACATAGGCAGTTTAATCTCAAGTACTTTGACAAGTGATTAATAATTAGCTAACACAGTTGATGCCTTTTTGATGAATTAATTGAGTCGAAAGGCGGGCGACCGCGGTTTCCTGATATCGAGGCTAAGAGGGTAATTAGTATTGGAAAATTCGTCGCAGATGAAGATGTTAAGAATTTATTCGTTTTTCGTCAATTCCAAAAAGGTAATCAACCTATTTTGATTTTGGCAGACTACCATGTTCTGAAGTTTGACCCGGATCTGAAAATGTTCAGTTTCCCAAAGATCGATCTTCCGATTAATCACATCCCATTAATGATCGTTTCTCTGGTTCAGAATGTAGAATATGTATACTGGGATTCTGACAACAAGCAAATTCGTCAAACGAACGATAAAGTTGAAGCAATTAATTGTTTGTCATTGCCATTTCTTAAGACGACGTACAGCTCAAAATCTGTTTTTTTTTGTTCCCGATCATAATGATATTGTTCGTTTTGACACACAAGCGTATGGCAAAACTGGTGGTATTGTTATCAATAAATGTAAACGTAGAGTCAAGCGTATCGACTGTGTTTCTGATCTCAATGGTCTGCAGGGAGTCAGTTTTGTCATTTGGTCTGGCAACACAAAGTTTGACTTCAATGAGTAGAAATCCAGTTTAAGGTACCGTGGAATTTGATTCTATAAAAAAAGTTTCGGTTGGGTATTTTGGGTACCAGGCTCAGTTTCTAGTTATGGCAGATATAGAAATAGAAGAAAACAATGGATATAAAAAGAATAGCTTAGAATTTCAGTCATTATTCGGTTTTCATTGATTTTTTTGACTAATCAGATCAATTTATTTTACCCTCAAAGTCAATTTCTGAAAAACCGATAATTTCCCCCCCTATAGTGCAATGCAACTTTTTTTGCGACCCAAGTCGCTAACTAAAGTGTTAATTTGTTGGTACTTTTGAATCGGTAGGCTACATAGGCAGTTTAATCTCAAGTACTTTGACAAGTGATTAATAATTAGCTAACACAGTTGATGCTTTTTTGATGGATTAATTGAGTCGAAAGGCGGGCGACCGCGGTTTCCTGATATCGAGGCTAAGAGGGTAATTAGTATTGGAAAATTAGTCGCAGATGAAGATGTTAAGAATTTATTCGTTTTTCGTCAATTCCAAAAAGGTAATCAACCTATTCTGATTTTGGCTGACTACCATGTTCTGAAGTTTGACCCGGATCTGAAAATTTTCAGTTACCCAAAGATCGATCCTCCGATTAATCACATCCCATTAATGATCGTTTCTCTGGTTCAGAATGTAGAATATGTATACTGGGATTCTGACAACAAGCAAATTCGTCAAACGAACGATAAATTTGAAGCAATTAATTGTTTGTCATTGCCATTTCTTAAGACGTACAGCTCTAAATCTGTTTTTTTTTGTTCCCGATCATAATGATATTGTTCGTTTTGACACACAAGCGTATGGCAAAACTGGTGGTATTGTTATGAATAAATGTAAACGTAGAGTCAAGTACATCGACTTTGTTTCTGATCTCAATGGTCTGCAGGGAGTCAGTTTTGTCATTTGGTCTGGCAACACAAAGTTTGACTTCAATGAGTTGAAATCGATTTTTAGGTACCGTGGAATTTGATTCTATAAAAAAAGTTTCGGTTGGGTATTTTGTGTACCAGGCTCAGTTTCTAGTTATGGCAGATATAGAAATAGAAGAAAACAATGGATATAAAAAGAATAGCGTAGAATTTCAGTCATTATTCGGTTTTCATTGATTTTTTTGACTAATCAGATCAATTTATTTTACCCACAAAGTCAATTTCTGAAAAACCGATAATTCCCCCCCCCCTATAGTGCAATGCAACTTTTTTTGCGACCCAAGTCGCTAACTAAAGTGTTAATTTGGTGGTACTTTTGAATCGGTAGGCTACATAGGCAGTTTAATCTCAAGTACTTTGACAAGTGATTAATAATTAGCTAACACAGTTGATGCCTTTTTGATGAATTAATTGAGTCGAAAAGCGGGCGACCGCGGTTTCCTGATATCGAGGCTAAGAGGGTAATTAGTATTGGAAAATTCGTCGCAGATGAAGATGTTAAGAAATTATTCGTTTTTCGTCAATTCCAAAAAGGTAATCAACCTATTTTGATTTTGGCAGACTACCATATTCTGAAGTTTGACCCGGATCTGAAAATGTTCAGTTACCCAAAGATCAATCCTCCGATTAATCACATCCCATTAATGATCGTTTCTCTGGTTCAGAATGTAGAATATGTATACTGGGATTCTGACAACAAGCAAATTCGTCAAACGAACGATAAAGTTGAAGCAATTAGTTGTTTGTCATTGCCATTTCTGAAGACGACGTACAGCTCAAAATCTGTTTTTTTTTGTTCTCGATCATAATGATATTGTTCGTTTTGACACACAAGCATATGGCAAAACTGGTGGTAATGTTATCAAGGAATGTAAACGTAGAGTCAAGCACATCGACTGTTTCTGATCTCAATGGTCTGCAGGGAGTCAGTTTTGTCATTTGGTCTGGCAACACAAAGTTTGACTTCAATGAGTTGAAATCGAGTTGTAGGTACCGTGGAACTTGATTCTATAAAAAAGTTTCGGTTGGGTATTTTGGGTACCAGGCTCCGTTTCTAGTTATGGCAGATATAGAAATAGAAGAAAACAATGGATATAAAAAGAATAGCGTAGAATTTCAGTCATTATTCGGTTTTCATTGATTTTTTTGACTAATCAGATCAATTTGTTTTACCCTCAAAGTCAATATCTGAAAAACCGGTAATTTATCCCCCCTATAGTGCATTGCAACTTTTTTTGCGACCCAAATCGCTTACTAAAGTGCTAATTTCATGGTACTTTTGAATCGGTAGGCTACATAAGCAGTATAATCTCAAGTACTTTGACAAGTCATTAATGACTAGCTAACAAGATTGATGCTTTTTTGGTGCATTAATTGAGTAGAAAAAGCTATCTATTTCATTCAATAGTATAATGATTAAAGTCCCATTTCAGAATTTTTCCACCTCGTATTTTTTCGCGAGCTTTTTGAAACGTATAACTTTTTGTCAATTTGGTATGATATATTCTAATTTATTACATGCAAAGTTAGTGTGGTTGCCTGTAGTTTTTTACATTCCAAATTTTTACCTGCAAAGGTTATAGGTGATTCTAAATCTCCTGAATCTTTGCCGCTTTCTTGCTCGTTTAGGCGAGGCTGCAGCTTTGCCTCTGTTAAATCTGATGGCGTCCCTCATGATGGGGAGATCGAATGATGGAAACTTATTTTTAAAGTCATTTTTAGCCAATCAGAATTGTGTATTCAAAAATGTTTGAGAAATCGCGAAAATCTCAAAGAAATCGAATAAATCCAGGCCAACAAAATTAATATTTACCGATTATAAAATAAGCAGATATTTGAATTATCAAATATTGCGAAATCAAAAGCGGGTATTGGAAAAACCTAAATCGATTTTCAAAAAAATGAAAAAATATTGTATATCTGCGCGAATTGTACAAAAAACGTTGCTTAGCTGCTTATTCATTTTCTGTTAATAATGACTTCGGTTTTGTTAGAAAGTAATTTAGCCAAAAGGAAAGGTCTAACAATTCTGATTGGTTAAAAGTTTTTCATCAATCAGTCTCTCCTTCGTGAGAATATCTCCCGTTAAATCTTGCTGCTAATAAGACTCCTATTTTAAAACGACATTTGATATTACAGTAGAAAATATGTTATTAAAATGTTTTCGGCAGAAATTCAGACCAGTTAAGAGCAGTCGAAACTTTCGTATATATGAGCTGTCTTGTTTATTACAAAGGAACGTATTTATATTTGTTGTCTGCCCACACTAACTGATTATTTCGACTTTCGTAACGAAAATAACGGAATATTTGTGCTCGGGTGGGTTTTTTTCCTCAGACAAATTTCGATTTTAACTAACCATTCTTGACAATTTTTTTTATATCATTCAAACGCTATTGTTGTCCTAAGCCTAAATTTGAAAAAATATTTCACCTGTGATCATTTTTTGTAAAGTTATGGGGGTTTGAAATTTGCCATTTTGGCCAATTTGGGACAATTAACGCGCAATATATTTCGCGCTATTAATGTGCAAGCGGAGATTTAATCAGTCTTAGAAATCGTTCCAAATTGGTTGAAGGAAGCTTATTTTCCATAATTGATTTGTTACTAGGAGCGAAATCTATCACTTTGTACTTCATATGGCGTGTGGGGAATGAGTTTCATAAAAAATCTCAAATTTAAAATATCATTTTATTTTATTACATTAGTTTTTTCATGTTATTACTGCCCCATAGACCTTAAAAGGCAGTCGGAACCTTCAGGGTTTTGCCCTGATACGAGCAGTCTTTTTGAATTATGTTTTGCGGTATAGTCAATAAAGCGATGGCCTGTTAAGCTGAATGCATAATTTTGAATCTGGCTGTTTTCGAGTCGTTTTTTAAGTTTTTTTAAACATATGTGTAAAACGGTATCATTTTACCTCAAGTTGAGTAGCCTTCTATCTTCAGGATACTGGAATGTTGAATAAGATGAATTAATGTTCGGCTAGCATCAATTATGCAGTTAGTACAACGGGAATGCAACGAGAAATGCCCAAGGGCCTGAGTTTGGAAGCAGTTCTAAATGGACCCACTGGTTCCCGTGCTAAAGGTCGCAGTCCTTCAAACATTAATAAACCCAAGAAGAAACGGGGAAGACCTCCAAAAGTTAAAGAGGAACCCGAAATCGAAGTTTTTCCTCCGTCTGGAACCTCTCAGCATGCGACTGGTATTGACGTATTCAACGGTTTGACGGGTCATTTTTCAGACATCATTGTTCCAGAAAACGACAATCATGATGTGTTTTCGGACAGTGGTAGCGTGAAGTCCAACGCCAATTCAGAATGCAATTTTACAGCTTCAAGTTTTGTTAGTGAACGTCAACACGAAGATTTATACCTCAATGGGTTCAAACATACACAGTCTACGTCTGCGAAGGTTGTTCCGACCAAAAAATTAAAAACAGGAAGTAGGAAGGAAGACTTGTCGCAGTTTGCTGGAGATCATGACGGTTTGGAGTTTGTTCGACCAAGTGAACTAGAGGCTAGAGTCAAGGAGCGTCGCGATCAGTTTGAAATTGAGGATGACTTGACTTGGGATGGAATTGACAACGTGTCAGAAGTTGGATCAGAGAAATCGGCGAGGTAATTTTAATGATGTCATTCTGAGTGTGACACATTACTTATGTCCATTGAGTACGAACCGCTTGAAAAACTGGGTACACTGTTCCTCATGTGCAATTTCTTGTCGAATCGTTTTTTTTACTTGCTTCTAGATCGGAGCGACTTTATGCCTTGAATTGATGTGATTTTGTGAAAGCTTAAATTCTATAAGTCGTTGAAAATTAATGAAAGACACTTTTTCGAAAGAAGCTTTTGGTTAATTTTCATTAGATTCTTTTTATTTTTGAACTATTTTGATCCTTTTCCACTTCCTCGTTTTGTCAAACTCAATCAATATTTAAAAACTTTGTACTTAGAATAAGCACTAGTGAGCTACATCAGAGCTTCCACCTCTCAATTAAAATGTCGAATATTTGTGCCTCTTCTAATCCTGCTCTTCCGAGCAGCTTTTTCTAGTCCAGAAAGATCATAACCATGATGACTAAAGCGATAGGCCTCCAAGTTAAACAGAGCGTAAAGCAGATCCTTTTCAGCTCAGAATCGAATCATTATTGGTATCTATTTAATTGGTGTTGATGTTTTTTAGTGGTAGACGTTTGACCTACCTGCAGCAATGTGTGGATCTCTCTCCTCGCATGCCGGATGAGCTGTTCTGTGGTGACGTCATAGACAGACTGGTGTTGCCCCCCTCCTCCTCCGATCTCCTAATCCAGAATGAGATAATCATGCCCACTCTAGAGGTTACAAATTGGATCACAATTTGGAATCAAACGAATGGTTTGAAGTAGAATAACGGTTCTAGTTCTGGCCCGATGTTAAAGAGAGGGATTTTGAAAAATGCCGAAATAGGAAAATGTTGGCTGAAAAGTTTCCATCTGAAAATATTGGCTGAAAAGTTTTTCTTTCTGAACAGATTCTTTCAAAATGCTGAGTCGCTTTTTTGGATTGCGTTTTTTCTTCGGATTTTTTATGTTTCAGCTTTTCTTCACAGGCACGTGTTTAGGTATACGAAGTGCTGAGGAGGTTCCATCAGGTGTTGCGACTCACTCCCTTCAAGTTCGAAGACTTCTGTGCCGTTCTGCAGATTAATGAGAGCTCACAACTACTGGCCGAGATACACATATCGCTCATGAAAATAATCCTCAAAAGTAAAGACACTGTAACTCTAGGATTATTGAAAAAATGCTGCAACTGATTTCTATTTCAAAAAGATAATGCATAATATGCTGAAAATTGATTTTGTCTCTGTTTTAGTTTGAAAGGGAAATCGCATAGGCTTAACAATTAAGTGGGATAATTTTTGTTGTGTTCAATTTAGTTAAGTCATCCCTTTAATAGTTGCCCGGATTTTTTAATCTTTGCTTTGGAGCTTTGAGTTTATTTGGGTCGGCTTAAGTCTTTTCTTTTTTATCGCAAATTTTTGTTTCAGCCGAGGAATCCTTTGGGTATGTGTTCACTCCTTATGACAGCAAATTCACTTTTGACCTTGTAGTCCACTTCATAGATGAAGCCACATGGCCTGTCATTGTGTCCGATTACATAATGTCCCTAGAATCATGTCCTTCGCCAGTACAGGAAGCAGTTTTGTCACCTCGATACCCTTTCGTAAACGTCGCATATCGAATTGCAGTGCTGAAAACATTGGTTGGTATATTCTCTGACCTCGAAATCATTAGAAACGAGTTGAATTCAGACGGTCAGATTGTATACGACACGAAATGTCGACGTTGTGGTGATCCGGGTAATCTCTTATGTTGCGACAACTGTCCCGCCGTATACCATTTACAATGCATTAAACCTCCTTTAGAAACCATTCCAGAACATCAATGGTTATGCTCGCTATGTGAAGCTAACCAACTTCCAGGTGTGAATGAAGTGAGTTTGTCAGATGAAGCTGATGATTTCACGTCTGTATTGAGCCCGAAGAACGAATGCTTGGGCCATGACAGACATTTAAGAAGATACTGGTTCGTGGCAAGACGTCTTATAATGTAAGTTGACTTCTTCGAAGCTAGTAAAATAAGTGGTTAAGTAATAGATTTATGAGCTAATACGTTTATCTGTTAAGGTTTGCATGCCAAAACTGTGAGATGATTTAATGGCTTGAAGCTAAATAAAACTTCTGCAATTGTATCTTCAGTTTTAAACTGACAATTTCACTGATTTCATTAATGTGAGTTTGTCAAAATGATGATAACTGGAGTGTAGATAAGGATTTTTTTAATCTTATGGTTTCTAATCCCTATGTAGAAAACGAACGGTGTAGTGTTGCGGTTGGCAGGTTACACCCTTATCATTGTCACTAAGTTTAATCGGCCCTTGTTTTCAGAGAAAAGGGCGATTTCGTGAGGTACTACTCCCAAATGGAACAGGTTAACTACATCATTGAGAGTCTAGACGCAGTTTGCTACGAAGAAGCATTGCACACTCGCCTTACTGAAGTGCAATCAGTGATGTCAAAACATATGTCTTTAACTATGGACATGACACAATCTTTAGAGGACAAAATGGTAGCCACGGATCCCGATTTGAAGATGGTGATGACGGAAGACTTGCTGGAGTTTGAGGAGTTCATCAAAGAGCAAACTGAGGTAACAATTAATATTGAGTATATTTTTCGCTTTTTTGGGAATATCAGAATCAGAATGGGATTTAGCTTTGCATATATTTCTGTCTGAATGAAGACCCATGCCATTTTTGTAAATAGTTTGGATAATTTTTTCTCCATTGTGTTCTTGAATAGCAGCTCTAAATTTTCAGTTGCGCATGGACGAAATGGAGACAAAAGATGAAAACGATGAAAAAGTTCTGGACTCCCACGAGGACTTCGACTGGATAACTTCGGACATCATTCTCGAAGACCTGGATTTTCAACAATACGACCAGGTGTGAGCTCATTCAAATCGACTGTTTTGACAAAAGAATTTTTTCACTATAGTATTTTTTAATTGCTCGACTTTTTCAACAGCTTAAATCCTCTTAAATCTTTTCAACAGCAAACCTCATACAAAACCCTGAATTTTTAGGAAGCCAAAGTGCATGATCGCCTGAAATCCGAAAATTTATTCACTCTTGGAATGGAAGAAACAGTCAAACAATACGTGAACTTCTTCAACAACCACTCTCTAAGCATGAACAGGTCTCAGGCGAAGGAAATTGAAGACAGACGAAGACATCTAGGATATAAATTCTGTCTGGAACCCGAATTCGAGTTGGCATCGAATTTCACGGGAACGGAGGAACAAGTTGTGACAGGATTGAAGCAAACTATTAAGCAGATTGAAGACAATTTGCCCTCTATTTTTATGGTATGTTTTTTTTTGCATAAGTGAGCTATAGATCATGCTTTTATTGCTCCGAAAACATATTACTATTGTTCCGCTCATCATGCTGTTGTTTTTCGAATCTAGTTTTATCTTTAAATTTCTGTAATTTCTAACAATTTACTGTTTTGCAATCTTTGTTTGCTTTTTTGCTTGCATCGTTTGATTCGCTAATTTGCTGCAAATGACTGCATTTGCAACTAAAGTATCTAGAACCCACCAAGTTCGAGCTGGGAAGTTTCACTGGTGTAATAGTCGTACACTGTATGACCAGTATGATCATTTACACTTGCGATCTTGCGAGCATAGTATTATATTACGAGTATACTCTTTCCAATCCAACATGCAAACAAAAGTGTTTCTTTTGGTAAACACTTGCAGCATAGTATTGGCATTTGAATAGCATGTATTCTCCTCTTCACCAGTGGCTTGTGGTTCGTACCGTAAGCGTCTCGATCTCAGCTGTGTAGGGCAATTGACGTGTATTCTAAAGGCCTGTGTATTCGATTTCCGGAAAGAGCTTTTATTTTTCAAAACTCAATTGTTTTTGCTTTTTTCTCCTTTTTTTACTTTCCAAGGTACTTGGCGTATTGTCGACAGTTTTTGACGACAGTTTATACTGGCGCCTTTAGAACAAGTTTAGAGTTGATCGAACAATCTACTCAATAGTTTCTTATTAGGCTTTTACCGGCGTGCTGCTTTCTAGTCCATCGTGTTTTCTGCGCTGTTCTCAAATATTTGTTTGAGTGCGTGTCTGTGATCGATTACACACCTGACTCACGCGAAAACGTATTTGATGATATAGGAATAAGTAGCACTGTATGACTAAATTGATTAAAGTTTGAGTCACCTTAGAATATTTATTAGAGACCCTCGCAATTTTTACAAGCCTTGCAATCTATCACAATTTTACCGTGTCAAATCAACAGCTGGTTATTATTGAAATTTTTGTTGTTTTTCCGACCATTGAAAATGGGGAGGAACTTTGTATTCTGGTGTGTTTAAGTTTTCCTTTCAAAATCGGGTTAGACAATTAATCATTGGAATGGGTTGAGTGATATATCACATTAAAGCCGTTTCAGTCGTGGTTCGAACGACATTAAGAAAAAGTGTCGAGAAAAACCGGTTTGAAATTTTTCATTTTGGGTATAATTTCGAGCTATTAAGGTGAGCGTTTAACCTTAATAGCTCACCTTAAAAACATTTTTTCAATTGATTTTACGATTTTTTTTCTGTTTCCAGTCATTTTTCTACAAAAACTGTTTTCCAATTGGCTTATTTTACTATTACTGTCAAATATGCTTAAGTTCTTTTTTGTTCAGATCTTTTTATCACTGCGCTCAGAAAAAACGACACTAATTCGAAAAAAATGTGTTTTTTACAAACCTGTGGTCGGAACATGCTGTGCTACTTGCACAGTAATCGGCTATCTTTGCTTTTTTTTTGTGTGTACTTGTAAAAATCATGAGATTAAGTTTTAAAAATTCCGATCATTATGATTTTTTCGGTTTGGTTGCTGAAGTTTCATTGTTTTCTAGCTCGATGACTGGTCTGTTAAATACCCAAGAGGCATCAACTCAATGTTGGGATACCACCCCGCACCCTCTGACATCATCAATGCATTCTTGACTATACAGAGACACATTAAACCTTCCCTATTTCTCCCTATCTGGAGGGATTGTTGTTCGAGTATGGGTTTCTGGGTTAAGTTCTTCCAGCCAAAAAAGGAACTGGAACCAAACTCGGGAATTCCAGGTCCAATTTCATCTTCAAAAGAAAGCGTTTCTATCCCCAATAATGCTTCCTTTTGGACGTCAATGCAAAACGAAACTGCCAAAATGATGAATGAGTGTATTTCTGATGATTATTACCAAGCACTGTCGGACGCGGGAATCGAACACCCGGTGTTTGTATCGATTCCTTTGAAACATAATCTGTACAAGACGAGAGGTGAATTATACAGACAGAAAGGCCATGGCTGGGTTTGGATGAAACGCAAAAAGAAATCAAAGTTTACTCAGTTTCGAAAGCTAAAAGTAAAATCAGAAAGAGAAGACGATGGATTTGAGTTACAGTCGCATGAAAAAACCGAAAAAAAGAAGGTCGTCAATATAAAGATCGAAGATACAACGGAGGATAATAAAGATACTAGCGCATCTGAAGATGTAATAAAAATGTCCTCGTTATTTCCTTCTCGTAGCTTAAATGAAAATGTCAAAAGAAATACTCAATTAAGAAATCTTTTGGACGTGAGGTTAAATCAAAAGTTAACCGAAGAAATTTGCGACCAACAAGAAGTCAAAAACAATTTAAGTTCAATCATTGAATTTAGCGAAAAAATAGCAAAAGTTGACAGAGAAGTTACTAGTCTCGGAGATGAATTAGATTACATCAGTAAACAGAGGTTACGAATTGAAAATGTTCTTGAAGAACGTAAACATTTGACCAGCTGTTATAGCTGCTCAAAAATTGCTTTGCACTTCAATGAGAGAAATAACTATGAGTGTTATTCGCCGCTCTGTAATGAGAGTAAAGCTGTTATTGATCGGCTTCGAGAAATAGCAGGATCCACTAAATTAGAAAAAGTAACAGAAAAACTGCAGAACTTTGATTTTGTGATTAAATCGAAACGAGAACGATTAAAAACATTTATCAACGAAAAGTCGCAACTTAAAGATCAGTTAGCTACAGCGAAAACTCAAATAATTAAAACGAAAAGTACGGCTTTAGTTCATAAATTAGTTTCAGTCCAAAAGGCGAAAACGAAAAGTGAAACACCTTTTCGCCAAATGAATTCAAGGCACGATCAAAATATTTTCACACTTCCGAATTATCAACTGAAAAGATTTGCACAGTCGGGTTTGGGGAGTGTTTGTGATGTTCCGTCAGCAAATTTTTCGCATAAACCGATGACCAGCGCAGTGCAATGGCCTTATTTCTGTGAACGACCTTCCACGAAGCATACTTGGGAATACAGACTGGAAAATGAAGTTTCAAATCAGGCATCTTCAGTCGATGTGAAAAATGACGTGAAGCCCTCAGCGACGTTTCCATTACCTTGTACCCTTTCTACAATAGCCGTGTTGATTCGAGTTTTTCACGCTTGTGTGAGGTGGGAAGAACTGAAGGAAATTGAGAAGTCGATCATGCCCCAAAATGTAGCTGTCAACTTCCTAAATAAAGGTGTGGTTATTTCAGGGTTATATGAAATATATATTCATTTTCACTCAATTTGAGTTGTAATTTTAATACACTGCGTACGTCTTCTAAAAGAATTTCTGGAAATTGTCTAGACCTCTGTTTGTGTTTTTTGAAATTTATTCGGGCGATAGCAAAGTGCGCCAAATTACTTCGAGCGAAAAATTCCCAAATCTGTAATGCAATGTCTCGAGCCTCAATAGCTTTATTTATAGCGCTTGTTCTTTAATTATTCCGACTTTTGAAGTAAGTGAGAAATATATATGCGCGGGGTGTTTTTTTATTCAGACCAGTTTTAGAAAAGATGAGTGCATATGGGCATTGATCCGGAAACCTTCGGATTGCCCAGTCAGTATGCATGCACTAGACTATAGGGCGGCTTTGGTGCTGAAATAATACTTCGATAGTTTTTTCGGTGCAGAGACAATTCAGCCACAGACAATTCAGCCGATTTAAAATACAGACAATTCAGCCAAAAAAACTCAGACAATTCAGCCAAAGACAATTCGGCCGATTTAGATTAAAGAGACAAGATAAAAGGGAACAATAAAACTTTTCTAATTTGATTAGAGTCAGAAGGCTTTCAACAGTTTACCAAAGAAATGTAAAACATCAAATAGCAAATTTCGAAGATCAAAACAAACTTGCTATGCATAAAGTTTTACGAAATATGTACATTGAAGGTACGCAGTTTTAAATACTTCTGTATATGGTCTCGATTGTAGTTTTTTGCGTTTTGAACGAGTTTATCATTTGCTATTGAATACTTGGGCTTCTGTTTTCTGATAATATCACCGGACATCAGTCTCTCTACATTAATTTCGGCGTTTTTTGCTCATCTTTGAATCGTGTGATCAACTTGGGGAGGGCTGGATGCTTTGTCGATACGAATTTATTGAAGCTGCCATTCCATGCCTCCAACGCATTGTTCGTACGAGGTTCTCCGCTGAGCACCCGATTGAAAACGTTCCAATCGGCAGTGTCAAACTTTGGTTTGACGCGTCTATTTCCTCGACAAGCACCAATATAGGTGTCTTCGAAGCAGTCTGATAGACTCTGGAATTCCTCTGAGGGATCCTCTTTTCGGAGCGCCTCAAAAGCGAAAATAACATCGTCAATGGGAACGAATGCCAAGCAAATCATTTTTTTGACATTCAGTCGAAACTCATCATCGTCCATGTACTTGCGCGAAAAACCAAGTTTTTGTACATTGCGCCATACTGCTTGGCCCAGGTGGAAGAAACAGAATTGAATTTCTGTATCAGGCTGCATTTTTTATGACGTTGTGAACAGCGGCTTCAAAGTCAATGACTACTTTTTTTCCAAATTGCTCTAAGCAGCCAAAAAGTTTTTCGTAAGTGTCTTGCGTCTTATTGGGCAGCAGAGCATACACCAAGGGTATAACTGCGTTTTCGATTACACCATGATTAGTATAAACTTGGTAAAAGAGATCTGGTGCCACTGAAAACGTTCCGTCGCAATGACAGATTTCCGACTGAGAAAGCAAATCAAGCGCTGGTAGTGTTGCAAAAACTAAAACTCGACTGTCCGACTTACCAGAATCAAAATACAGGAACGTATCACCGCTGTGTGTGAGTTTGAGAGGTTCAGGAATTTCGTCGACGCGCTCAAGGTTTTTTGGTTTTGGCATTGTTTCCAAAGCTTGCTGCCTGATTCGGTTTATACTTCGAAGGGATGTTGAGTAACTCGGTATTGTGGACGCTGCATAAAGAGGCAGGTCAATTTGGGCGTTGAAAACAATCTGTCAGGGAGCGTTACCGGTGTTTGCGGCTTTTTCTCGAACTTCATTAGCAAATTTCTTGGCTTGAATTTTTGAGGGGCTCGGTAAATGAGCGTGCTCGGTTTTTAAGGTAAATTCTTGCTGTTCGTCCAAATAACCCACTGCTCTACAATTTCCAAATGTACATTGCCATTTAATGAGACCGTTCTTAAGTTGGTTTTTTTCACGGTATCTATAACCGTCGAGACAAAGATGTTTTTTTCCGCGTTCAGATATAACGAATTCCATTTTACGTCAACTTTTGCTAAAAGTGAATGATTGAGAATGATTCGGATACTAATCAACCAGTTGTTCAAGCTACTTACTAATGAAAATTAATCAATGTTAATTGTGTCAATGGACCATTTAACTGCAAAAAGTAGGCGCTAAACGCGGTACTGGTTTCTGGTTGGTCAATATTTTAATCGCAATTAGTTTATCTTTTTAAAAAGTTTAAGTATCAAATTAGTTTCAACCAACTACCCAAATTACCTGATAGGCGATTGCACCCTCGCCCGCCTAAGGCATGATAAGAATATCAGCGTAACTGTGTGGCCAGTACGTGGTAGGGGTGGTCAGCCCTTTAACTGATATCCTTTGTGACCGCCTGTAAATTCCCAATTTCGGGTCTGCTTTCGTGTAAATTGGTTAACTTTTAAGTATTGCGCAGTTTTTTGTAGAGTTCGATTTTTGCTTAACTATTATTCCAAAATTGGAAACATAATGAGTTGTATAAAGTTTTATTATGCTTAGGCATTTTTGGTTCTGTTAATTTTAACTGTTTTATGTGCATTTGAAAGGAATTACTTATAAGTCGTCTAATGAAAGCTTTGATGTTTTGCCGCATGTGAAAAGTTTTTGCGCGCGCGTTTGTCTGTCTGAAAAGTCTTTGGCCGAATTGTCTCACTTATTTTGACTGAATTGTCTGAATTTGAAATTGGCTGAATTGTCTGTGGCCGAATTGTCTGAACGCGAGTTTTTTCAATACGCAAATTATTTATGCGTGGCTAATTATCCCACCCACAATCGTTCCAAATGGAATTGAGGCAGGCTAATTGGTCTTATTTATTCCATAAACGACTCAAGTTATAACACTGAGATATTAGCAGCCTAAAATTTGTAGTTTGTCAATCTTCTTTACCAAAAACGAGTCGAGACCAATTAATGGCCAGTCGGAACATTGTCTTGTTATAATGGGCTCTACCGAAAAACACAATGAACCCTATTTTTCCAAAATCTTCTTTGCAGCAGGCGAGTTTTCGAAAAAAAACAGGCCATAAATGAGGTTTTGAAATTAGGTTTTCGGTTCGCGTTGCCTTCAAAATTACTAAATTATTGCGCCTACCGAAAATGCGTCGAAATGTGGATGTCATAAAACAGTAACAGAGGGGGGAACGATCTTTTGTGGCCGAATCCACGATGGGGTGTGCGTCTGCTCCTACTCCTAAATCCGCCCATGATATAAGTAATGAATTAAAATAAGATCCTAAAGCATCCTGAACAAATTAGAATTAATTGACAGATGGTCAGAACAACAATAATTCAGGAAGCAAGTGGGATGGAAAATGAGTCCACTAATTTTCGTGGTAAATCATAAAGTTCGAGAAAATAAATAATTAAACCTTGGTTCCGAAAGTTTCGCGAAAATGTTTTGGTGATTTTTTTCCTGTTTTGTTTCTGTCTCCGGCTTATCCTAGAATGAGTTTTTCGACTTGAATAATTTCCAGCTTTAAGTTCGAGAGTATGGTCGTAGCGATTTCGCAAGCGTGCCAAGGGGCTCTTTGTTCCTGTGTTGCTCAAGCGAAATTAAGCGTGGGTGGAAATCTCGGCGTGTACTAAGACTTCTTATCGACTTTTTTTCAAAATCATCTGACATTTTTTTCAATAGTGCTGCTGTTTTTCCCCGCGTTCAATTTATAGAATAATGATTCATTTAGGGTTCGCATACCGATTTGAAATGGATAACGGATCCGCCATTATCAAAGACCCCCAGAATATCCGCGACGTTGCTCCTTTGTTCGTGGAAACAGAATTCCTATTGCGGATAGTGCATCTGCCGAATGACAGAGGAGGCACTGCAATGGTCAACAACTGTCTGAAAGATGCCTTTGAGTATGAAGGCGAAATGGCTCTCCTAAATGAGACAAAAAGGTCAGCAGTTACTTTTGATATCTGATCTAAAATACTACTTTGGTCGGAACATTATTTTTTGCTCCTTTTTACGATCAAAAGGCCTAATTTTTGTTTCCGTGGAAATAAAACTTCATTTCGAGCAATGATTAAAATAAAGCATTGTCTTTTCATTTCTTAGGTGCATATGGAGGCGGCTATTTTAGGCGAAAACTATATTAGGCGAAAATAAAAGTGCTAAAATTAGGCGAAAGTTTTGATTAAAAAAGTGTACATTTTAGTAGAAATTGTATGTGATTAATTACGTCATTTTATTGCTACATATAAAACACACGTAATTTTATGCAAACAGCAAATAAACGGTAAAATAGTGACCTTCTTCTTCTTCGCTTCTTCTTCTTCTGTGTGAGAGCTGAAGCGTGCTCAGAGGCAGCGCTTCGCCAGCTCGATCGCCTTGATCGGATCGTCGGTAAAGACTGAAAGCTCAGTGTTGGTGTCGCCAAATATGGATTGTCGTGTGCTGAGAGTTGCTGGACATTCGAGTAACCAGTTTTCCAGGGTTTGGTTTTCTTGGAGGCATTTTGGGCATCTTGGGTCTGTTGTTGGTTCCATAAGGTGTCGATACGCTGCCAGTTGCATGCTGTGCCCCGCTCTCAGTCTCGCTAACATGACCGCGTCTCTTCTATTGGTCAGCGTTTTCTCGTCCTTGGCGGTTCAGTGTTTGGGGTACACAGCTGCTGTCCTGGCGTAGGAGAGCGGTTTGTCTTTCAGGGTTCGTTCGGTTACTGCTTTGGCGGCTTTCAGGCTTGTAGGTTGGGCGTCGTCTCCGAGTTCTGTGGCTTCGTTGGCAAATTTGTCGGCGAGTTCGTTCCCGGGAATGTCCATGTGGCCGGGGACCCATTGGATGTCGATGTGGCGGTCCATGACATCCAGCCGACGGCACAAGGAGGCAACATCAGGACTTTCATTGTCCAGAGCGGCGGTCAGACTGGGAGTCGGTGCAGATCAGTACCTTGTCGTGCTCTTCGACGGTGTTCTTTTCCAGCCACTTGATTGCGCTATCCATAGCCTCTTTCTCTTCTTCATAGGAAGATGTGAGGATCCTTCCTTTGGTTTTCTTCTCGTCAATCGTGACCGGATTCTCCGGGTCGCCATGGGTCACAACCATCGCCGCCGACCCGCGAAAGTGGGTACCTTCAGAGGCTGACCCGTCTGTGTAGATCACCCACTTGGCCTCACTCTCATGGATGACTCGGATGGCGTCGGTCCTGGCATTGTCAGTTCTGTTGCCTCCAACCAGTGTGGAGCTCACGGTCCGCTTCCTCGGGTTGGCGGTCCACAGGTGCTCAGTAGGGCCAGTAAGCGGTTCTCGGGGGGCTAGTCCTTCTCGGAGTGAGGCCTCTAACCTCTTGCTGCTCTCGCGCCAGCTGTCGCGGTAGAGCCTGTGTCTCTGTTCGCCTTCGAGAGCGAGGCGTCTCGGGTGGCTCGGAGGACATCTGAACGCTTTCTCCCGGAGGTGGCTATCAGCTGCCGGGAGACTGTCTCATAGCTGGGCAGGCCCGCTTCGATGCGGAGGGCTTCCACAGGAGAGGATGCGGTCTGGCCGATGATGCGACGAAGAGCTTGGTTCTGCGCTTTCTCCAAGCGGTCCATTTGCGTCTTGGCAATCCACGGCTGCCAGGCAGGGGCGGCGTAGTCCAAGATGCTGCGCTGAGTTGCCAGGTAGACGCTGCGCATGGGGCGCTTCTTCCACCCCTAGCCAGTGTTGCCAAGGCAAGCTAGGAGGTTGCAGTGTTTCTCGACTTTCCTAACAACATATTCAACGTGTTGTTGGAACGAGAGGGTCCGGTTCATGTAAAGGCCGAGGAGCTTCGGAGCAGGGTCAACTTCATTGGCAGGTTGTTCATGTTGAGGGACGGGACCCATTTGGAGTCACAGGACGCTGCCGAGAAGAAGGTGACGACACTCTTGTCGCTACAGAGCATCTTCTTGCTGCGGCGCCAGGACTCGATGTGCTTAACTGCTTCTTGGACTCTCCGCTGGGCAGTCTCCTTGTTGTGGTCGCTGGACCAGATCGTGAGGTCGTCTGCGAAGATTGAGTTCAGCACAGCTTTCGGAATGACGTCGGCTACGGAGTTGATGTAAAAGAGGAACAGCATAGGCGATAGTACTGCACCTTGCGGGACTCCGTAGACCAACCAACGGGTTCTGCTGCGGCTGCCATTAAACAGGACGCGGAATTGTCGGTTTCTGAGGAAGGGCCAAATCCAGCGGATGAAAGACAGAGGGACTCCGCTCTCGAACAATGTAAAAGAGTTGATGTAAAAGAGGAACAGCATAGGCGATAGTACTGCACCTTGCGGGACTCCGTGGACCAACCAACGGGTTCTGCTGAGGCTACCATTAAACAGGACGCGGAAATGTCGGTTTCTGAGGAAGGCCCAAATCCAGCGGATGAAGGACAGAGGGACTCCTGTGTGGTGCTGTAGCGCGAGACACCGCTGCACTCTGTCTTCTTGTGGCATCTTGCTGTACAGGTGGTGGTGGCACAGGAGAAGTGGGGCAGTCCACTGCGGAGGGTCACACTGCAGTGGTGGCATTGGGTGGGACCGGGGTTGCTTTCGATATCTCCAGCTTCTAACAAGCGGCAGAGGTCATGTGCTGGAGCCATGCCTCTGCCCCCAAAAAACCCGGCGACAGGTGAGTTTTCTTCCAGATCGCTGATCTGTCTCGGATGGCGATATCCACTGAAGAGGAGGTTTCGTTTTGAATCCGGCGCACCTCGTAAAGGTACTCCTCTCGGGCCGGGCTGTTGTCGCGCCAACGTGTTGCGAGTTTGCAACAGAGGATTGGCTCTTTACGAAAATTAGAGCCAATTATCGCGGCGACGCGCGCATAGCGCGCCCACTGGCGACCTTGAACCGATAAACGGCTTTGTAGTCTTTGAACTGCCTCTTGTCAATGTCGTCAATTAGGGAGGATTTTGCTAAAAATATACACGTTTATTATCAAAATATTCGCCTAATTTTAACACTTTTATTTTCGCCTAATATAGTTTTCGCCTAATATATACAGCCCGGGTGCATACGAATACCCGTTAAAATCATATGAAGGGATATTCCATGGGTTTAAAAAGGAATGCATTGATTAGTTCATTGAATGTTACCAAGAAGTAGTTCGTTTTTGAATGTTGCCAGGAGAGTGCGTAGAAGTGGGCGTACTCCTAAGTTCAAAAAGAGTCTGTTGAGCAACACAGAGCGGAGTGTGGAGACCAGATGGGTGTCGGAAGTGGATTTACAGTTGTGGGAAGTCAAGTACATGTTGGAGAGGTGAGCCCCTTCATTTTAGATAAAACTCGAATTGAAAAATTCCAGAAATAGGTGAGCAATCGTAAAAATTGTGAGTGTTCGGAATCTGATTTGAAGTTGAAGTGAAATTCGAACATTGCAACCAACTGAAGCAATTTTTTTTCAAATGTAAAAGTAAAAAAAAAACGCCTGTTAAAAGTAAAAAAAAATATTGAGAGATAGTTTATATTTTAGGCGCAAAGAAATCATTGCAAAGTTCGAGTTGGAAAAACAGAAGAAAGCAGAAGCAGAGCGAATGAGAGCTCTTCAGAAAGCAGCAGAAGAAAAGCTAAAAGCCGCCAAAAATGCCCAGGGTAAACCGGATCGAGAATTTGGTGTCTGGAGCGATTCGGATGAAGATAAACCTCCAATATCAACTCCGCCAAAAGCCATTCCACAAATGATGCCAGTGCAAATGCAGAATGATATTAAAGCAGCTGATACCCCGAAAAGTACTTCAAAAGTGGTGATAGTCAGATGCGCAGACGGAACGACAAAGCAATTAGTCCTGTAAGTATTTTTTATAGAGAAAACTTGAAAAAAATCATGTGGCCCAGAAAAAAATTAAAAATGATATGTAGGGTTTGGTCAGTGTAACTCCGTCAAAAGTTGAACTGATAGCAATTTGTCGGATTTTTTTGTTATTGTAACCTCCTTTATTGGCGCTTTTGCTTCAGTTTCCTTCATGCTTTAAACTTTTTAAGGGACAGGGATTGTCTATGCTTTAGAAACACATCGACACCATCTCCACTGGGCTCAGGCCAAATACGAAGTGTACACGTGAAACAAGCAGATGGCGTTAGCCGGCCTATCAGAATCATTCCTATCAAAGCTACCTCCTTGAGTTCGCCCTCAATGTCAAATGTGATGTCACCTGTTCCAGCTCGTGTGAAGAATCATTCGCTCATATCATCATCTGAAAAAGATAGAAACCTCCAGGACTTCGTTCGACCTAAAGATCCTGACCAGCCTTCTGTTCAAGTTATCCCAGGAAAAGTAAAAGCTAGCAACCAGGAAATAGCGAGATCCATTGTGTCAAGTTATCTTGAAACGGACTACCAGTTTCCTGCAAAACAAAATTCGGCTCATAAACACTTGAGAGAGGATAGAACTGGGGCTGTGGATTCGAATGAAATATCCGGGATATATGACAGACATCGGATGCAACTGTCACCTCGTAAGGTAAAAAGGAGAGATGAGGCGCTGACCAGAAAACAGACCTTAAAGAAACAGCAGATATCCACTAGACATAATAAAAAGCCGGTTCAGAGGAAGCGGAAATTGATGAAAGAGCAAATAAATTTAGAATTGATGTTTGAGAAAAATAAAGTTCCTCTTTCTCGAGTTATTTATGAGAGGCCGTACAATTCAGTCACTCACAAGCAGTTGCTTCCCGACAATGATAATGATTCGAATATGTCATGTTCGTCTTCTTCAGAATTGGAAAATGATCAAATTACAACTGATGACAATGAAGTTGACTCTACCTCTGATCTGAACTTATCGCGAGGAGCTTCAACATCTGAAAACATGCCGAAGTTGAACGCTTGGAGTTTCCCGGAATCTTCGGCAGTCCTGAAGATTCAGCAGCCAAAAATTCAGGGTTCAAATTTGATATCAACAGGAAAGCGAGGTCGACCCAAAAAACAGAATTCAGAAAAGGTAACCGCGGTGAGCGTCAAGAAAGAAAAGGCAGAAAAACGGAAGTTAGGCGAAGCGAAAAGTACTTCAGATTCGAAAAGAGTTCAAGGTGACCCGGAACTCAAAAATGAGAACAAAGTTCACCAGAATCGCAGAGAAGTTTTTGAACATATCACGGCGTACGCTAATAAGCAAGATGCTATGGCTCAGAGACAGAAAGGTGGAAAAAATGATCATTCAGCTCCTTTGGTTAAGAGAAAACGAGTGGAGACTAAAGATAACACTTCTCAACAAAATGTCGAAACAGTAGCCGAGCTTTCGGTTGCAACTAAAGGCTCTCAATTAAGATTTGGAGACAAAGAAACTTTGCATTGTATCTGCAAAACCTTTTATGACCACACTAAGTTCTACCTCAAATGTGACTTATGCTTGAACTGGTTTCATGGAAAATGTGTCGGAATTAACGCAAAGAAAGCCAAAAATATGACAGATTTTCTCTGTCCAAATTGTAAAGAAAACTCAAGTAAAAATGAGTTGTATTGTATTTGCCAGACGCCTTACAATGAGTCCGAGTTTTACATAGGATGTGACGAATGCGGCGATTGGTTTCACGGGGCATGTGTGGGAATCGAACCGGAGGAGGCGTCAAAAATCGACAATTATTTCTGTCCGAATTGCAAAACGGAGGAAAAAGAATCTGCCGATAGTAATTTCAACTTCACTCTGGAACCGGAGCACTTTGAGCTATTGTCGGAGTTGATGACGGTGTTAATGGACCATACACACAGTTGGCCCTTCAATGAACCCTCGACTGACGAAGAGTACCCAAATTATTCGAAAGTGGTGACTAATCCCATATGTAAGTATAGTCTTAGGTGATATAATTTACTAACTTTTTTCGCAGCCACACTCCCTCTTCGACTTCTTTACTACTCAAAGGTTCTATTTAACGAAATCCATTTTTGACTTTTATACTATTTTTAAATGAAGAGCGCGCGCCGAAATGACGCAATTTTTGGTCAAAACCTTCCAAAATTGCAACCAAGTGGTGTCTTGGATGTTTTTAAATAAATATTCGACAAAATTTACTGTTGTTAGAGAGCTCGTAAAGTAATCTTGGTCGATCTAAGACAAGTTTGGAGATGTTTTTAAAATGAAACAAACCCCCTCCGATTTTAACTTATGAAATCCATAAAGTATATTTTGATTTAGGTTTCCGAGACATATCTGAGAAAGTATCTTGCCGACACTACACAAACTTCAGCGACTTCAACTCAGACATGAACAGGGTGTTCGAGAATGCTCGCAAGTACCACTGGAAGAAATCCAGCGAGTTCCAGTGCTGCGACATAGTGGAGAAGGAACTGGTGACATTTTTGACCAGTTTCAGACAAAGTATAAGTCAGACTGAAGAAGACAACGAGGAAGAGGAAGATGAAGGAAGCGAGAGATCTGAAGATGAAAATAGCGAGGCAGTAGAAACTTAATTCTGAATAGAATGGAAACATCATGACTTTAAATAGCAGCAATAGAATATTGCCGAAAAACTGAACTTAGAACTCATCAAAATGAACGATATTGATAGGAAATGTTCTTATTTCTAATGGAATTTGTCGATGTTGAGTGATTATTACTGGGTGACTTGAAAGTCTGGCAAATGATAATAGCTAACTGTCGAGTATGTTCTTATTCCTTTGGTCTTGGCAATTTATTTTTTGGTTTTGAATCAGCGCAATATTTTTTTATCCTTTTATACGAATGGAATCCAAATTTAATTTCTGTCAACATGTTTTCAAAGTTTGATGATAATGAACTGATCAACAGTTGCCATATTTGACGCTGAAAACCGTTAATGTTTCGTTTCAATAGCAATATTTAACATAAGTGGCTGTAGTTGTGAAGGTTGCGCTGAAATTCCCATCCAAATAAATCTGGAAAATTTCTCAATTCCATTTTTTAGACGTTTTCTAGTTGAGCAATAAAAAGAGACTGCTGCGCATACAAAAAAATTGTTGAACTAAGAACTCGCTTTTGGTGTCTAAAAACCTTATATTTGGGACTACAAATCCATAATTTTGATGTACTTGCATTACAAGTTCTTGATCCTTTTAAGCAGGCAATAGCATCTAATCCATTGATCACTGGGGAACAGCAAGTTGCAGATTCAATAAGTGGTGAATATTCAGATCGAATCTTGTCAGTTAAGTAAATACAATACTGATTGTATCAGGGCAAAGCACGTCATGCTCAGATGTATGAACGTGTATGAAGTTATCTTTCTTTGAAAATTTCCGAAAAAGATGAAAATTTTGAGACCACAACTCATCCTGTCCTTCGTTTTCGAAAAAAAAAACGTCCCCTTGAAAACTGGCTCAAAGAAGGTTTTGCAGAAGGTAAGTCCCAGAAGGCAAAAACAATTGAAAATGTATATAATTCCTCGCTGTTTTCTTCAGATTTCCCAAAACGGTAAAATGAACATGTGCTACAGATTTCTGACCCACAGGAGAATACTCCCTGTTATAAGTTCTTAAAAATCTCAAATATTGTCATTTTGCAAGCTTCTGGCAAAAAAGGAATTTTCCCACATTCATTTCTGTATACTTGACAAAGCATAGTCGGTTGCTGCGCAAGTGGTATAGAACGTTCCGATCACACTGATTTAAGACAAAAACACTCACCTAAACTATTGTTTTTCATTTTTTTTTCTGTTGTTTTTTCTAGAAAGGCAATTGATTTAGGTGAAACAATTGCAACAATAGTCAGCCTCTGATTACAGTCAGCGGAAGGAACGTGCGATCACTTGATAAATGTATGGATAGCGAGACACGGTTGCCCCATCACATTCCAATCGGAGAATGGCAAATCATTCGTGGGTGATCTCACGAAGGAGTTAATGAAGAGGTCGCAGGTAGCACAGGCCCACTCGACCACTTATCACCAACAAACGAATGGCCTAGTTGAAAGGCAAAATGGCACGTTGGTATCCATGTTGAGAGTTTATTGCTCACGCTACATGGATGACTGGGATAGACACTTGCCGCAAGTGATGTGCGCTTACAACAGCACAGAACATTCCACCACGGGAATAAGTCCGCATATGATGCTAACTGGTCACGAAAAACGCAAACATACGTGCGTGTTGTTATTAGAAGGCAGCAGGACCTCAATGACTTATGCAGGAGGAACACGCAACAGGCGCAAATCAGACAAAAAAGGAGATTTGATAAAAGGACTGCAGATGCAAAAGCCTACTCGGTTGGCGATTATGCCTGGGTGTTCCAGGAAGTAGTTCCATCAAAAGCAACCAAAAAATTACTGAAAAAAGGCGTGGTCCATTGCAAATAACAGAAGTGCACCAAGGAGGTCGTTTTTATCGATTAAGCACCGGACAAGCAGCTCATTACGAAAACATCAAACCGCACAATGCCTCATCAGAGGACTGGTGCATCCCAGCTGACATGCAGGAGGGAGACTATTTGATAGTGGATCCTGCTTGTGAAGTGAATGAAAGAGGTACGCGCGACAAAACGACGGGAATGAGGTGGTAGATAATTGCGATCTGCCACGACCTGGAGTTGACCGAGCGAGTGAAGGTGGACGACGAAACTCTACGTTATGCCCAAGAGGCCTGGGACTGCCCAGAACAAACTGAAATTGACAAAGGAGTACGGCCTGACTTTCCCTTCACCATGGAAACACGCCAGAGCAAGAAAGGAAGGAATAAGAAAAAGTACAACCCGTATGGAGAGGATTTCGTCATAGACAGGATAGTTTTAAGCGATATGATGGAATCACTGGTGGGACTGGATGAAGTAGCGGTGCCACAAGAGATCGACTTAGTCAATGACATGGATCAGGATTGGATGGACGATCGCTCCGAACCAGAAATAGAGTTTGCACCAGAGGTGGAGCAGACTCATGAACAAGAATTAACGAACATGCGAGTGCTCGAATGTCTCCACGACCTGCCGGCAGATCCTAAAGAGACAATCTTGACGATTCGGGATGTCGATAAAGACAGCATCAAATACATCAGCCATGACAATACCGAGTCCAACTTGGTCGCTCCAGATGGCCCTCTACGCGTTCCCGAATCCAACCTCAATCTGCTCGATTTTCGGCGATCGACGGGGACGTCGATGGATATTTTTGTCCGGGAGTGGGGGAAAACTCACCCACCTCAAAAATCTGATCATTAAAAAACTAAAATCGGCAAGGGAAACCGGAGAACTGGAAACGGAGGGCGAGAACGCTACAAAACCACCTTTTGGAAGAATTTTCGAATCTTATTTTGACCTACCAAACCACTATTCAAACAATGTCGTCATAACGGACAGCGATTTCATACTCACGGAACGTACATGCGCTATAGCGATAACCGCGGATGTAAGCTTCAAAACAGCACTAGCGGCTGACTTTAAAAGAGAGTATAAGAATTTCGAGTTTTTATGGAAACAGAGGCCTGGTGTGGGAGGGATGATAGCGCTGCCCCTTGTTGCATCACAGATACCAGGGAATTATTTGTGTTTCCTGGTTACTAAGGCCTTTGATAAGCAACACGTGAATCCAGAGAGCTTGGTTTTGGCCTTGACTCGACCTAGAGATTTTCTGGTTGAGAGAGGAGTGACCTCTCTCGTTACCAGTCTATGATTCCAATAGGGGAAAGCTACATCCGAGAGAGTTATATGCCCTTGTACACGTGATATTTTCGGAAACTGACATAGAGGTTTACTTACATAAAAAATACTATCTGAACATATGCTAGGAGTTACATTCGGCGAGAAATAATTTTTGTTAACTTCACTTTATAGGCATTAGAATTAAGTTTTAGGTTAGCTACTAGGGATTATGTTTTTATGTTATAATGTGAATATGTGATGTTTATGTGTTATAGTTTTGTTAGGGTATGTTTTATGTGATGTCTGTATCATAGGGACCTGGAACACTCCAGGTACTGAAGGTGACAGCGCTCTTTTGTGTTATCTTGATGAGTTTGCAGGTGGACGATCCACCTTGGTTTTAGTTTTTAAATCAAGAACGAAAGAAAATTTCAATGGATCGTTTTTAAAAGATGTGAATGATGTTTTATCCTGAAAATACAACGGCATGAAATGATGGTTTAATGTCGTGACTTGCTTTTTAGATCTTGATTGATCCAATTTTGTTTATTGACTTTGAAGAACAAGATACACACAATAGGACGATGGTTGACACGAATGACTTAATGGAATTTGTCTCAGCGAGTCTAGGAGCGAATCTGGACGAGATATACCAGCGGCTGATCGACTGTGATTTTGCACAAGAGAAACCGGGACTGGCGATGTTTGTGGTCCCGCTCCTCAATGCGTTAGGACGAGAGGGTCGAGGGAATCGCCCCACTGAAGTAGCGTTGATGCTGGCCTTCGGTGAGTCCGGGACCGCCGAGAGAGGTCGAAACCGACTGATGAGATGGCGGCGAGGAGAAATGTCTGACCACGACTTGGCTCGTGAGCCGGGACTAGGCGAGCGGAGGGATCACCGGCTAGGTGAGATGTCCCTACCTGTTCAGCCAGTACAACCGCCCATCAGAGCGAAAAGACTACGTGATGGGCCGGACCCGTCACACTCAGCAGATTCTCCAACGGCTGCTCCTCCGTTGAAGAGAGTGAAGATGAATGAGATGGAGATCCAGATCTCGGAGACTGTTGAGACGTTGGAGAAGAAGGAAGAAAAGGATCATAGGGAGCTGTATACCAAGCTGGAGGAGTACAGGGCAATAGCTCGAGAAAGAGACGAGTAGAAGAAGACATCTCAGTCTGCCCCGAACCCCAGGAATACGATACCGGATCCTTCAGACAACTATTTGGCTCCCCAGTTTCAGGAGTCATTCAATCAGGTGGCCAGAGCAGAGATGAATGAGATCAACCGGACCACTGTCCGGACGCTGGTTGAGGTCGTCCCTTCCCAACGCTTTGATCGTTCCTCGAGTAGCTCGGAGCGCATACCTCGAGCCATAGTACCAACGGGAACTACACATGGCAGAACGACTCAGAAATCTCGCGTAGTGGACATCAGGAATAACCTAACGGTACGCAACCAATTCGTGCAAGTAGCCGCGGAGCATCCTCGAGCTTGTCTGAATGGCATGGGCTGGAACCCTGCCATAAGCAACCAGGCAATTTCCTCAGGGAGTCGTCATTTGGTTGTTGGAGATGGTTTAGTGAGGGATCTGAACGAGACCTTTGTCAGTGGTCAGACCACTGTTCTATCTTTTGGAAGGGCCTCCGTAGCTCAAGTCATCAAGATGATGGAGTTCCAGGGCGAGGATCACCCAGACACGTTGGTGATATTGCTCGGGACCAATGATGTTTCGAGCGTCCCTGTAACCCCAGAGGGCAAGTGGAGCCCCTATTGGTCTGCCTTCTGAACGAACTGAAGGAGAAATACAGACCCAGACTCGTGGCGCTGTGTACGATATCGCAGAACCCGGAGGTGGGCACGCCGGTGGCGGATTTTATGAACGGCAACGTGACCCGATGGAACGAGATGACCCGCAGTCTGGTGAAAAGCAATCCCAGCGAGCTGCGACTCATGGATCTTGAGAACATGCTGCGCATGATTGATCATCTCGCGCTCACCAGAGATGGGATACACTTCAACACCCAGCAAGGTAGACGCTGGATAAACGACGTGTTCCAGACGCAGATAGGGGAAATGGGGCAAGAATTGAGGACAACCAACTCACTGGCTCGGACCAGTTCGACTGGAGGAGGTACAGTGAGGCCTAATGTGCTCGAATCACTCGCCAATC